CTGATGTGGACTGGAGTCACACGTTTCGATTTCGGGTAATAGGCATAGCGGGTGATAGGTATTCGAATCCACTGTATTTAGTTTTTTGTAGTGTGTTACTTCGACTAGGTTAAGTACAGAAAAAATATTGTTAAAATTGTCAAATAGTCTTTTTTTCTAAATATTAAGTATTCTTCAAGCATACTACAAATTTATGCGAAAACATCGGTAGATTGTTTTTGTCTCATATTTCGCTCACTTCAAGTTTACGGTTCATATTTTGGTCACCCGTCGCTTACACCACACCCCATGTGGCGCACTACCTGAACAGCTGCTGATCGGACAACTGTCGTTTTGATTTATTTTTACCTGTCTGCAATCATCAAAACAAAAGTGGAAAATTTTTAATTTAAAATTTCATAAATTTGCAGTCGTGGAAGAGCGGTTCTCATGCGCTGCACCCAGTCCAGTTCTTATTATTCGTTTCATTTTTTTATGGAAATTTTCTCTTGTTTATGCTTAGAAACTCGCGAGTGGAGTTTTCACTGTGAAAATTATTCATTTTTGGCATTTTTGTTTGCCGGAAATTCACGTACACTTAAAGTGACCGAAATATGAGACAAAACGAAGTATCCATAGAAATGGACTGCACATAAGAGGTTCGCTCAGTGCGCATTGTATACTGGTTGTTTATGAAATCATAAAGAACTAGAAGCGCTACGTTAAGCACGTACCGGAATGGCTCTTCCCAGAATCACAATTACCGACTTGCTTTTTCTCATCACGGCTGCCATGCATAATAGCTGTACTTTCACCATGGCGGAAATCAGTTGACTTACTACGTCCAAGAACAAAATAACTCTCACGACCACGTTTGCAACAGCGAGGCCGATGTCTGTTGGCTATTGAACGCGCCGAGCTGAAGCCCTCTGCGACTGCTCCACGATTGTCGGCATCCCCTTGTACTTTCCCGCTTGCACCGCTCTGGTTAACTCTCGATGTCTTAATGACATCTTCCTCGAGATTGTTCGAATCTGATCCGGGAGTAAACGGGCCGTGAGGATGCTCATCCGGCGTGCTCGCGCGATTCTTCAGAATCTGTCCTATCGTTGCTGTACTTATTTTAAGCCGCTTCGCTATATCGTACCAAAACATTCCTTCTGCATAAAGTTTCAAAACAGCCGTTCGCTTCAGCTGAAAGTTTGCTCGGCGGCGTTCCTGAAATGATTTTTGATTCTGCTGCAAAAATATTTCCAGATCGTGTCGAGAGATTCCGAAGTTCTCCAGGATGCACTGGCCAGTGTGGCCTTTTTCGAAACATTCCAGTATTTTTGCTTTATGCTCCTGGTTGATAGCGATCGCATCGCGCGCAGTAAAACTTTTTCCGTTGCGGCCAATTACAGCAACCACCGCTTCACCTTCTACGTTAACCTCGCGAATAATATCCGTTTTTGAATAGCCGCACTTGAACAGCTGCATAATGGTTTTCTTTTGCTCTTCCGAAACGTTGGCCGTTCGCAGGATTAGCCTCACTGTTGTCACGCCCAGGTTGAGCTTCTTCGCAATTTCCGCGTGAGTCCATTTCTCTTTGCATGATAGCCTTACGATTTCCTCTTTGTGCTCTTCGGTCCGCGTCGTATATCGTCGTGTCAGTTTCTCTTTTCTAAGAAATTCGGCCAGTGCATTATAACCGATACCCACGCGTGCTGCAATTTCCTGTCGTGTGAAGCCACTGCTGCGTAGTTCGCGGATCAACCGATTTTGATTTTTATTCATGGCGTTCTGGTTGAACCACGTTGCGCAAGTCGGATTTCAAATGGGCTGCGTAAGGGAACACTGAAAAATACGAATTTATCGGAGGCGCACGAATCTATCGTAAATTAAACACAGGCTCACATCGAACGCTTGTTATGGAACTTGTGCAGAGCGCGTCTCCGAGACGCTAGAGTACCGCATAACAGAGTTAGTACCCGCGAATAGTACTTACTGTAAACACCAGACAAGGTTGCACCACAGAGTGTGGTATACGGAAATTTGTTCACACGCTGCAGCACGGTCTACGTAACGTGTGCATGGTCTGGCAGGGCGTAAACAGCGCCCAGATCTCATAGTGGTACAATCTCATCTGGAGGCTACAGTACACACTCAACAAATGGAGAGGGACGGACCTAATTATCTAATCCTCCTGGAATTGAAAATAGCGAACGGGAGGGCAAAAGCACCGTGAAATCAATTAACGGACAACATTTCAAAGTCTTTCGCTTCTCAAAAGTAAAACACAGCACAATAATAGATTTTTAGCCTCGCAAATACCCTATCAAATAACTACAAAATGTTGCTAAGAGGTCCCCCTGAGGGGCGGCATTTACCCCCACGGCCAGCCCCTATGGTCGTAAAGGTTTGACCAAAATTTTATCCTGAATGAAAGCTCGGGAACTCGGTGAATGAACTCGGTGGATGTGACCTTAAGCAAATTTTTACTGTAACAATAAAAGTGTCCTCGGTTGCAAGCTTTCCCCGAAACAAAGACCCCATCAAAAACCCTTATGCAAAATAGTAACTCTGGGTCAATAATTGAGGAAATACGGTATATGCGAGTTCGAACCAAGCTATAAGCAATAAAAATAACAGAAATTACTTTTTATGCGGCATTTTTATTACCACGTAATAAATAGCAAAATAAGGTGAACGCTAACCAAAAGCACAAGTAAAGAAGGGGTGCATTTTACAGGGAACATACAGTAATTCATGGCTATGAAAATCATAATTATTCACTATTAAAACTGTAAAGATGCCGAGCGAACAAGGCAGCAGAATGAATAGATAACGCAAAAACTAACCCAGGAGGCACTGCTTCGAAGCTTATAAGAGTCGAGAGATCGGTTGTACGAGTATAAGGGCGACTTACTTCGTTCTGAATTTTTTAGTTATTTTATATAGAAATTATTTTTGGATAACAGAACAATGTGGTTTAAAGAATCCGGCAGTTGCCACGTTTTATCGCTTGCCAGAACGCCTAGTGGCAGCTGCCACTGCCGGTGGCAGATGCCAGTGGCAGGTGCCACTACCACCTTTTATCCCCTGCCATCAGAAGGGGACGAAGAAAATTTTCGGGGAACCTGGGAACGCAAGTCATGGATATGGAAATGCATTCCCTATCGAAACTGTATAGAAGCAGAAAGAGCATTATCCAACGCAATAACTTACCCCGAATCCGATAAATTAGATGATGCGCGACAACGCCGAACTAGGGTCTGTCGCTGTAAAATTGTTGATGAAAGACAACCAAATATAGCACTGACATCGGGTCTCTCATCAAATCACTGGCACATTTTGGGATCCCGGCTATTAAACAGCGTTACTGCGCAAGCCCGCGCTTATCTGTTCAAACCAGTGCCATTTGTGTAATGCACACAGGTTCCGTTCCTTTTGGAACCTGTTATCTTCGTTGATTCGTATGTCATAAGCTCAACTTCGGTAGTGGTGGGCCGGCCCGCGAGAAGGGCCATGGCCCGGGCCGCGGCTCACAGCGGACGAAGATTGCGAAGAACACAGAAAGCTGAAAAATTTCATTGCAACTACCAGAAGCAGCATTTTTCGACGAGTTTTTCTTAATTTCCCCATTTTAATCGTTCTCTAGGCGAATATCTGCCTATTTTCTGTTGACGCGCTCGCTGTAGCTGCTCGCATAACGGCATCCGGGAAAAAAATAATACTTACTGCGCTACAACAGCATGCCAGACGGCCTGAAGCCTGGGCGGGGCCGACTCAACACTAAACGTTAGCAGCCGTTTCTTGAGGATTACGCAACAAGATTACTCGGCTACCGATCATTTTGGCCGTTTAACTTACTTCGGCCGCACTGCTTTTCACCCGATGCTTACTTCGCCTTGCGCATATTTTCGCCGTCATTCCGCGGACTAATGGTATTGACTTTAATGCAAACCTCGCTACCAGTCAGATTTGCTAGAACCATATCAGTGTTCATATACAAATATTTACAATCTAAGCCAAAAATCTAAGAAAAAATGTCTAGTGATAGCCGCTTACAAAAATTTCACTCATGTATACTATCAAATATCATGATCGCACGTTCGCACTTTAAAGCTGTAGATTGCAAAATCGATGGCGAAGGCTACGGAAACCTGAGAAACGAAAGAAACATATGAAACAACATAAAAAAGAAAACCTTAAGCAGTGCATAAAAATAAAACAAAACAGCAATCAGCAGTTGTTGTATAATTAATTTGTAAGCACGAGTTCTCATCTCCGTGAGCACACGCACTTAACGTGAGCACACTTCGCACTGCGTGGGGAAAGGCTTGCAGGCCCTGAGATGTATCATGTCTGTCCCGTGGCTCCAGCCAGCCTGCCCTGAGTTTTGCTTGAGGCTAATCCTGAATGTGTCCCAGCCTTGCAAAATTAACATCCCCTACACGGTTGGATACGTCTTAGCTTTACCATAAAATATCATAAACATTGCGCAAAGGTATTTGGGGTGGACGAAAGCGCACCCGTGTACACGAAATTGGTTAAATGCATTCACACACTTCTCTTAAGGGATTGTTGCCGGTGTACAAATCAAGGACTTTGCAACAAAGTTCTTGATTTGTTTCGAAAATCGTACGCGGATGATGTCAAGAAATTCATCCAAAATTTTGAACATGTGAAGCAGCTTCCACACGTTAACTTACTGTTTTGCCGGGTTGCCGAACACAATGGGCTTCTATTTTTTTGGTTTCTTAGCCGCGAGTCACTCTTCGTACGACGTACAGTAAGCACTATAGTATCTAAACGGCTTTTCATTTGGTGTTTTTTGATATTTTAGTTAGAAGATTTTGCTGCGCAACAGGCTGCAACAAAAATTATCTGTTTCGCTGATAAATGTAGTGGAAAAAATTGCCAAAACAAAAACAAGTTTTAGCCACCTCGTAATAACAGTAAAATAGTAGACGACCTATCCATTGCTTTGCCGCACTTCGCCAGACTTTGCCAGGAAGATAAATTTATTGTTGCAATAGGTCATACGAACCGTGATGGACGCATTCAAGTTCGACGCGCGACTATTCGTCGCCGAACACAGGGACACTGGAGCATTTCCGTTTGGACCATATTGCTGTGAGGCATTTTGCCGTTGTGGAATTTCGTCCCAAAGCATCTGTTCGTGGACATTTCGCATTGGTACCCTATAATCATGCGGCAGTTTGCCGCAAAAGCTCGAATCGCTTAGTTTTTGCAAGTTTTGCAGGTTTTTTAATTTTCCATTTTACCAGGGTTTCTTATGCTTTCTTATGTTTTTTTTTTGCTTTTCTGAGGTCGCTCGTACTTTCTTATGTCTCGAAATGTCTCGGCGTCGAAATGGTCTCACGACGAAATGCCTCGCGGCGTGATGTCCTGCCCACTGAATAACCGGCGAAGAAACGTCGCTCGGCGAAAGGAACTTCCGGCGAAATGTCTGCGACCGAATGTCCTGTGGTCAGCTGACCCCGGCGAAATGTCGCGCGTTGAAGAGAGTATTGCGAAGAGCCGGGAGAAAGATGTAAGTGATTTCATTTGTCCTCAACCATCGACCAGTCCACCTCTCTGCCAATTACAAAACTTCTGCGGATAGCCAAACGTACGGTATTTTCTTGGAGTTTTAAAAGGAGAGCGTTTATCGTCTTTACTTGTTCAACAGTTTCCGAAGACGAAAAATATGCGGAAATGTAATCCCCGTTTTATTTACGATTGTTCTGACAGCAAAAGAAATTGAAGGCAAAGGCTCGTCGCGCCTGATTGTAGGAAGCACTAGTTACATGACCATCCGCCCGTGTGTGTACACTCAATTTAACTTTCGCGCAGTCGATAGACAAGTATATCTCTCCCAGTTTGACTTCCCGACTACCAGTGCAAATTTCACCGGCTATCTTTGATGCAATCAGCTGTGGCTTATTCCTGATCTACTCGCGTAACCACTGATAGTCGCAGCTGCAGTGCAGCAGCTGAGCGTGGTTGACCAGCTCCTCCTCGTGTGCTTTCACTGCTTTGCCCTGTTCGCGTGGCAGCCACCATTCTTCCAGTTAAAACCATAAGCGCGTCCAGCTCAGCAAAGGTATCACGCTCGATGTACGCGATCGTCGCCGCGTGAAACACGATGGACAGGTGAAACACGATAGGCTCGGAGTGTGCTCCAGCCACTTCGGAAGAACATATCGACGATAGAAACGCCAAACAGCTCTTCCGAGGTAGTTGGAGCCGTTATAGGAGGCCACGAAGCAATACGATGCGCACCACCAAGCTCGCAGTCGGCGGATCAAACAAATACTCTAGAAATGGAATGTCAGACTGGGAGCAGTTCGGTTATTCGGGTTTCGCCGTCAGCCGGTGTCGACCGCAGAAAATGTTCATTATTGATGGCTTTCTCGTCGCTCATAGACCAAGGCGACCGCGCCAAATATCGCGATCTGTTAGAAGAAAAAAAATAACTGCCTGTCAGCGCCTGATTGGAAAGCACAATTCATAAACATATTCCGTCGCCGCCAAAAATTGCTTCTTAATGCGCCTGCAATCAAGTGACTCTCCGTTGAAAGAAAACTTACCGATGAAACAATCCGAGCGACATCTCTCCCGCGATACAATGAAAAGTGAAACGTGCCTCGTGTCACTGGCAGCGCCGTAATCATAAGCTGAATAATGCATGAAATCATGCACTACCCAGCTTTTGATAACTTCGCTGCATAGGGAATTTCAACATCCCTGGATATGGGACAAAAATTGTAGAAGGAAAAGGAACTCTGCTGTGCTGCGAGGTGAACGCTCTTTGCAGTCCGGCAAACGATGGCTCTGTGGGGAAAAACATTGACCTGCACTACGTCCATCTTACACTGCATGGTGCCGGCTTCAAAACACGGGAAGCCTTGTATCGCATCGCTGATGTGCTCATGAAAAAATTCAGACTAAACAGCAGTTCGTGGACAATTTCGCTCATCGTACGTAAAAGGGTTTTTATCGTCATCGCGGTGTCCAACGTAAGATCGGCACCTGCAGAAAACCAAGTGGCATTATGTTATTTTCTGGAGAAAAAAGAAAAATAAGCGGTTATAGTCAGTGATAAAAAAGAAACATGTCGGTTCCGCCACCAGCCCATTTTTCCAGAAGTTGCATCGTTGTAAGCTTCGTAAGATACTTTTCCTGTGGGTTGAGAATACTAAAGAATTAAGAAAAACAGCTTTTCATTTTCCAAACTCACATGCACTGAAATACTTTTCACACGCTGATGGGGTTTTTATGCCAGCTATCGCAATTAAATCGGTCAGCATTTTTGTCGTCCAACTCCAGAGATCACATTCCATACATACAGCGCAGTACTAAGCATGTGGCCACGGCATGACACTGCTGAGTGCGTTTCCCAAGTTCTACTAAACGTGTAATCTATCTTCATGGAAAATCTCTGAGCCGCTACCAGCGAACTCGCACGAGATCCCCTCTTATCGAAGCTGAAATAACCGGAACTGATTTTTTGTACCTTTACCGTGTACGAGCTGCTTACGAAACGTATGCAATAATATTATTATCCGAACACGGTTATTTCGCATAAATATCGGTAAATACTTTACGAGCAGTCACCTGTGCGCCTGGCTGTGCGCTGTGCGCCCCGGAATGGCTGTGCGCCCCGACAAATCGGGCGCATAGAATTTAGCTGTGCGCCCCGAATATCCGGCCGCAGAAGTATCGACATTTTTACGGCAAACCAGCTACGACGCGTAATTAATGATTAAGCTTTGTTTAAGCATCGGGTGAAAACACTAGCACCGGAACACGGGTCACCGGTGCAACCGGCCCCGTCGTCCTGGCTGAAGAAACCCCTCGTCTCCTCGCAAAAGAGGGCGGAAGGGAGGGAAGAAGGATTTGATACGGAGTAAATGTAGATCAGCTTTACTTCGACAGCAACTAACAATAAGATGTAAACACAGATGTGCAATCTCTATGCAACATCGTCAAACAGCGTTGCATTACTTCCCTTTAATCAGAGCATCATACTGCGCAGTATCGGTGTATGCATCCCAATTCCCAACGACACACCCTAATGGCTTTTCTCGACCGGACACTGGCCAACAAGCTGTCCAGCCTTGTAACCACCTCCGCTGCGTTAACCGACCGGAATTAGCCTTGCTGTTTTGCTACATTTTACGAGAGTTCTCATAATTCTATTTTGCTACAGTTTTTTGCAAGGCGAGGATTCGGTGCCATCCTAGCTGACCTCTCTGATGTTTTGGACAACCTCTTTAACAAACCAGGCGATAAAAAGGCAATTATACACAAAACGAAAACCTAACTATTATGGGTTCTCATATTCCGCAGTTCTCTCTCAACTTCTGCTCTCCTGCAACCAACTTTAAGGGTTAATCGAGTAAAAAAATTAAGGTCAAAGCTATGCGCAGGAGTTTTTCGTTTTTACAGAAATTTCGTACGTCCAGGATTTGTTGTACGAATACAAACAGGCGATACTTTAAACTGTAAAGAACTGCGCAGTACTTTATAGATCCCCCATGCCGTGAATCCGTGAATCGGTGAAAAATCAGTACTTTATGTAAAGTACTGACTGACTACTTTATACTGTAAAGTAATGCGCAGTACTTTATCCTTCCCCCTGCCGTGAATCCGTGAATCGGTGAAAAGTCAGTACTTTACATGAAGTCAATACTTTACATAAAGTCAGTACTTTATGCAAAGTACTGCCAGTACTTTGTACTTCCCGCATGCCGTGAATCCGTGAATCGGTGAAAAGTCAGTACTTTATATAAAGTCAGTACTTTATGTAAAGTCAGTCTGTTTTATCATGGACATTTTCATAACCTGTTGAGCGCCCCTTGACCGACCCACAATTGCATTAGCGGAATTATTAAAGAAATTTTAAATGGGAGGAGGGGTTACCACGACTCGTGAGTCGAGGAGCATTTTTATGCACGCCTGTTTAATTTAAATCTCGCTGCAATTCAAACTACGCCCTCAGCGCGACAAACCGTAGTGCAAAAAATGCTTACACATACGGTGATCACACCATAATTGCACAATTAGTATTTTGTTGATGAGTCTTAGCAATTTTTGAGGAAGCTGCCCGAACTTTTGAAAAATTATTATTATGGGTATCTTGCAACACTAGATATTTTCATCTAAAAAATGTTCGGTTTAAACGGGTGCGGTGGATGTGCCGCGAATAGCATTAAATAAGGCGGAATGAATTGTTATTTTTAAAAATTACGGGGTTTATGAAATCTCGAATTAATTTTCTCAGCTCGTTATATAATGTATTAGAAGGCGGAGCCGCAGGCGACGCCAAGCTGCGGCGCGAGCGGAGATCGCGGAGCAGCAAGCATGCAGTATGTTCCGCGTAAATTTCCGAATTTAAAAAAATCGCAAATTCTTTATTTAGCGCACGTCAGCGCAGGCATATATGTACGTGCAATAATGTATTAGTCATGACTTTACTTAGTGTCTTGACGTAACAATAATGTCATGACTTTACTTAGTTCTCTGACGTCTTACTTATTATGAAATATGACAACACAACAACATCGTAATATATATAGTCATAAGTACGACATATCGTTGCTATGCTATAGACACACTGACACCTTCCCCAAGTGGGGAACCCACTTCACAAACACAAACAAAACTGAAAGAACTTATTGCTCATGTATTAACAGCTTGGGAGCAATTCCTGCGTTCGCCCTTGCTGTACGACGTGGTTCCACCGCTTCCGGTTTGGTCTTCTTAGGCTTCGTAGCTTGTGGCTTATTTACTGTAGTAGGTTTGGCTTCCACTGGTTTCGGTGGTTGTGAAACCTTCACCGCATCGGGTTGAGCTTTCGGCTGATCAGGTTCCGTTTTAACAGCCTCTGCATCGTTTGCAGTAGACTTTGGAAAGGCTTCACTGGTCAATTCCGGTAGGTCATTGGCAGGCGGTGGTGCTTCCGCGTTGGCTGATGGTGGAATTTCCGCTTCTACCATTTCGTGCATTTCCAGCCAACTTCGTGGCCGCATCTGATTGGCATGTCGGCGCCACATCAGATCGCCAACCTTCACGTCCCACACCTTCGTACCATAACGTCTGACTAACTTCCCGCTGATCCAATGGACTGTACGGTTCAAACGATAGTCGCGTACCAGTACCAACTGATTGCTATGGAACTCCTTCGGTTTCGTCCGCTTATCGAATTGCTTTCGGTACCGCTCGCGATTACGCTCCGTCGCGGTTGCCATAACGGGAACCAAAAGGAGCTGACGCAACGCATCCGGCAGCGCATGGCCGTCGGCCATCAACTTCGCAACGCCGTCTTTAACGGTCTGCACGTACCGCTCGGCCTGACCGTTTGACTGCGGGTGACCTGGAGGCGTCCTGGTGTGCTTAATGCCATACTTGCTGCAGAAATCCACAAAGTGCTGCGAAGTGAATGGTGTGCCGTTGTCCGACACAACTTCATTGCACACACCGTAACGGCTGAACATCGTGAGTAGCGCCTCCATCACTCCTTCCGTCGTTGCGTGCTTCATTTGCACCACTTCGGGCCATTTGGACATTGCATCCACAACCACGAGCAACATCGTGCCTCGATATGGACCGGCAAAGTCCATGTGAACGCGCTTCCAGGGAGCATCGGGCACCGGCCACTGCGCTAATGGAACTTTCGCCGTCTCACCCGCGCGCTCGGTGCATATTCGGCAGTCCTTGGCGACTTGCTCGATGTCCCTGTCCATGGATGGCCACCAACAGTAGCCTCGCGCTTCTCCTTTCATTTTCCCGGCGCCCATGTGTGCTGCGTGTAGGTGCTTTAGTATTCTGGAACGATACTTCGCGGGAATAACCGTGCGCGATCCGCAGCACACACAGCCATTCAGCACGCTCAGCTCGTGCTGTACCTTCTTATACGATCGAATCTGATCGCTTACGGAGTCCGGCCAGCCGCGACCGATGCACTGGCGTACTTCCTGGAGCTCCGCATCGGCAGCCGTTTCCCTTGCGATGTCTTCGACGGACACGGGTATGTTTTCGGCACTTTCCACATGCAGCGCGCTCACTACGTTGTCCATCCCCAGGTTTGGGTATTTCTCCAGCTGTGTGGAGTGGAGCGGCAGTCGGCTGAGGCCATCCGCTTGACCAAACTTCTCGGTGCGGCGGTACTCTATGGAAAACGTATATCCCATGAGCAGCAGCGCCCACCGCTGAAGTCGATTGGCCGTGACCACTGGGACACCTTTCCGCTTGCCGAAGACGCTCAGTAACGGCTTGTGATCCGTTAACAGCGTAAACTCCCTGCCGGCCACGTACTGATGGAATTTCTTACAGCCGTAGACGAGCGCGAGTGCCTCTTATTCAATTTGCCCGTAATTCTTTTCCGCTGCTGACAGGCTCTTGGACGCGTGCGCAATCGCCCTTTCCGTTCCGTCGGGAAAACGATGACACAGAACCGCGCCCACGCCATACTGCGACGCATCCGCTGCCAGCACCAATGGCACTGCGGGATTGAAATGCACCAGGAACGTTGCGTGGACAATTTCTTCCTTGAGTGCCTGAAATTGCTTCGCACACTCCGTCGTCCATTCCCATGGTGCGCCGGACTTTAATAGGCGGTGAAACGGACCGCACTTTGCGGACAGGTTCTGTACGAACTTAGCGTAGTGATTTACCATGCCCAGGTAAGCACGTAACTCACTGACGTTGGTGGGCATCTTCATGTCCACCAGTGTCTTCGCGCGATCCTGGGATATGTGCCGCCCGCGGCGGTCCACCACAAAACCCAGATACTCGACCGATTCCTGCATGAATCTGCACTTCGACAGTTTCACGCGTAGTCCGTACTTCTCCAGCCGTTCTAACACCGCTTCCAAGTTCCGCTGGTGTTCTTCGTCGGTCTTGCCCGTGACGATAATGTCGTCAATGTACACCGCCACGCCCTCGCAGCCTTGCAGTATGCGCTCAATGATCTGTTGGAAAATGCTCGGTCCGCTTGCGACACCAAACGGCAACCGGTTGTACCTGAACAGACCTTTGTGCGTGTTTATGACAACGAGTTCCTTACTTTCGTCGTCCAGCTCTATTTGCGCATAGGCTTCTGCCAGATCCAGGCTGCTGAACTTATCGCCTCCGTTTAACTTGGCAAACAGCTCGTCCGGAGTGGGCAGCGGATAGGTTTGCACGTCGAGCGAGTCATTCAATCCGGTGCTCAGGTCGGCGCACGTACGGATGTCTCCGGCTCGTTTCTGCGTTCCAACAACGGGGGCAGCCCAGTCCGCATGCTCCACAGGCGTGAATATCCCTCTTTCAACCAAGCGGTCCAAGTCTTTTTCCACTGCGTCCCAATATGCGAACGGGACCGTCCGTGGTTTACAAAAGACCGGCTTCGCGCCTTCTTTTAGGTAGAGGTGAGCTTTAAATTCCTTGCAGTGCCCAAGTTCATCGCGAAATACGCTGCTGTGGCGATCCAGGATGCTCTGGACAGTTGCTCGGGCGGTGACCTTTGAGACCGCAGGCACTTGCAGCTCTTTCAGACTCAGGTGACTGAGGTCTAATGCTTTGATCCAGTCGCGTCCCAGCACGTCACCCACACGGCCTACGACGACGAAGGGCAGTGACTTTCTTGTCCGTCCATATACCACCGGCATCGTTGCACTTCCGATCACCCGGATCGGATGGCCCGTGAAATTTCGTAGCGGTGTGGCATAAGGCATCAACTTCGGCGAGCAGATCTGTCTCCACGTGCTCGCCGTGATGATCGTCACACCTGATCCCGTATCCAACAGCATGGATACACGGGCATCATTCAAGGTGATCGGTACCCGAATCGATCCACCCACTTCTTCACCGATAGCCAGGACGTCGAAGTCTTCCTGCACTGTCCACGTCCGACAGTTACCGCCGCCTCTGTCGCCCTTCGGCGGAGGCTTGCACGCCTTTGCGACGTGACCTTTCTTGCCGCACTTTCTACACGTCGCTTCCTTCGCCCAGCAATCGGCCTTCACATGCCCTTTTCCGCCACACGCGTAGCATGCGCCGCTGCTGCCAGCCATCTTGCCATTGTTGCCGTCACCACGCCCAGGCCGAGTACCACCGTTACGTTCCTTCGGATGTGGCCCCGAACGTCCCTTCTGGCCGCCGTCGATCCTCGCCATTTCAGTAGTAGTGGCTGTCCGCTTCAGCTGTGCCAGCTCATACTGCTCTGCGATATCCAGCGCTTTCGCCAGAACATCAATTTCCTTGGTTCGTAAATGGCGCTGCGTCGCTTCATTTTGGACTCCGTTTAGGAACGCCGCACGCATTTTCCCCTCCAACGCGTCTGCCGGAAAAGAACACAACACAGCCTTCCTCCACAGCTTATTGGCAAAATCAAGAAGGGTTTCACCAACTTCCTGCTTCAAGAGGAAAAAGTTCGCCCATTCGGTTGACTGCAGTGTCTTCTTTACGTATGCATGCTCGAGATGGGCGATGACTTCATCCAGTTTCAGCTCTGCGGGATCTTGTGGAAGACACATGGCAAACAACATTTCATGTGCTTCCACTCCTAATGAATCCAGTAGCAGCCTTTTTGGGTCGTCCTCTGTGGTGAGTTCCTGTATCTTAACATAATTGTTATAACGGGAACGCCATGCTTTCCACACCATGGAGCCAGGCTCGAACTTGAGCAGCGTCGGGGATTCCTTTGCTTTTGCCATAATAGACGGGCCGGACGTGGTTAACACGTTCGTGGCAATATCAATACCAATATCGTCCAGAGACATTCGTTGAATACCACAAAAAATGGCCTT